AAACAAAACATCTGCCCTCTCCCCCATCCATCCATGTGACCACGTTGTCCACTCTACTTAGTCAAGTAAGTTGTTTGGTAGCTTTTACTCCTCCTTTTGCATGATTCCTGTGGTAGGCTGACTAATGCCCCTTGTCTCAACCCTGTGAATATGTTCATGTCAGTGGTGAAAGGGACTCCACACATGTGATGAAGCGAGGGTCTTGAGGTGAGGAGATGGCCCTGTATCATCCCGGTGGTGGGATGGAAAGGTGGAAAGGTCAGAGTTGGGAAGATGTGACTGTAGAGATAAGGTGATTGAAGGGAGGAACCACAGAAGTAGGAAGCCTTTTGGAAAAGACAAGGTAGCAGATTTTTCCTGAAACTTCTAGAAAGAGTACCATACTGCTGGCATCTTGATTTTACACTTCTGATCTCCAGACCTACGAGAAAGTACGTGTGTGTAGTTTTAAATTGCCAAGCTTGTGATTAGCTTGTTACAGCAGCGGTGGAAAACTGCTTTGTGCTAGCTCGTGTTTTGCTTGTTAACAGCCACTTGGCCTCCCATCTCTCTCCTCTGTTTTACAGCAAAGTCCTTGGAGATCTTGTCTGCATTTGCAGCCTTGGAGCCAGACACGCTCCAGTTTTTCTCCTCTGTCCCCTCTTGAATCCATTCCAGCACGGCTTTCCCCGCTACTGTGTTGGGAACACTGCTCATGTCATCTCCAGTAACCTAGGCCACGGCTGCACACTCAGTTGTCATTCTTATCTGATTTGATCTGTCAGCTGCAGGTGATAGGGTTCATTATTCCTTTCTCACCTGTAGCAGTTTCATCCCTGCTCCCCCTACCCTGCCAACTCCTAGTACTGGGATGGAACCCAAGGCCTTTGCGCTGAGCTACAAACTCAGCCCCCTTTCTAGTCACTTGATTAATTTTTTTTTTAAATTTTTTTATTTTCTGGACTTGAATCAGTACCGGTGATGGAACTCACTACGTGCTTGCAAGGCAGCACTTACGCTGCTGAGCTAAACCCCCAGCTCCGATTAATTTTTTTTTTTATTCTTTTTAAAAAAATTTTTATTAGAACTGGTTTTAGAAAAAGGCAGTGGGGAGGGAAGGTGAGAATTTGGGGCTACGTGAGCTGCCCCTTGTCCTCCTGCTGCATCTAGGCGATCAGCTGTTGGCGCTCGACTGCCTAGCGCATGCGCATCATGACAAGGCTCTCGTAGTCCCTCTCTGACAGCACTGAGCCCTTTGACAGTTCTGGGTGGCTGGGGCCTGCCGTGCCCTGGGGCTGTCCCTCCAACCAGGAAATCAGAGGGTTATCCACAAGGCCCACTTCATTCCGGAAAGCCAGCTCCGCAGCCTTGACAGTCGCAAACTCCACCACGGCAGTGCCTGCTTTTTTACTGGAAATCACCAGGTTGAGAACTTCACCATACTTCTGTAAAAGCCGCAGGAGGACATCTTTGGAGTAGCCACCTTGGGACTCATCTTCCTTTTTGCACTTCCAGTTTAGCTTCAGTTTGGGAGTTCCTTTGCCTTCATTATTTTCCACCTTTCCTGTCAGCCTCTGCTCACGGTCCTGGCGTATCTGCTCCTGGATGAGCCTCTGCTGCTCCTGTAGCTGCCGGGAACCGTCTTCTCATAGGCGTGCAATCTCCTGCTCCAGAGTCCTGGTGCTCCGGTTCTCCTCCTCCTCTTCACTCCCCTGGGCCTGGGGCTGCCGCTCCGGGCCTCCAGGTCAGGCTTCACTCTTTTCCTTTACTCATCAAGTTTCTGGGTCCTCGCTACTGCCTGCTTCTTGGCTTTTCTGACCTTGTCATATGCAGCCCTGGCTGCAGCATCAGTCAACACTTCCAAGGCTGGTGGAAAGAGTTCAGCTGCTTTGGGGTTATCTGGGTTTTTGTCTGGGTGGCAGGAGAGGGCCTTCTGCCTGTATTCTGGTTTTTTTTTTTTTTTTTTTTTTTTTGTCTTTTTCATTTTTACCGGTACTAGGGATCGAACTCACGTCCACCTGCTTACAAGGCAGGTGCTTATGCCGCTGAGCTAAATCCCCAGCCCCCTGCCTGTATTCTTTCTTCACCTCTTTGTCCGCTACCTGCTCCTCAATACCTAGCAGCGCGTACAAGTCCATCTGTAAGAGCTCCTTTGTCACTGCCATGGCTCCTGTCCTGACTGGGTTCGTACTACCGATTAATTTATTTTTGAGACAGTCTCACTAAGTCACTAAGTTGTTGGACTGGGCTTAAATTTTGACCCTTCCTGCCTCAGTTCCAAGTGCCATGATTACAGGTGTGCACCACTGTGCCGTCCCGTTGAGGTTTTAGAGTGCCACATGCTCCTGGATTTGTCCCACTTTCCCTGTCTCTGTGGCTCTTTCTGCTTTCTTCCTGCTGGCTCCGCTTTGGAAGTGCTCCAGTACTGCCTTCAGCTTCTACTCTCTTTGTCTTTACTTGGGAGCTCATCCAGTGTTAGGGTTTAAATGTGCCCTATGCAGTAACTCCTGAGTTTATTTATTATCTAGCTTGATCTCACCCTTGAGTTCCAGAATTCAATCCCCGGGTCCTTTGGCAGGTGAGGAGACTCTGCCCCCACAGATGTGCTGCCCTGGGGCCTCCCCGCTCAGTCCCGGGCAGTTCCTTCCTTAGAAGCTGGGATGACCCCAGAGCTAGCCCAGTCTTCCCGCAGCAGGAAGTCACCCTGTTCTGTCTGGAGACCCCGAGCAGGGTCTGGACATGTCTTCCTTCTAGTGCTGGTACCTGTGGTCTGAGTCACCATCATCTCCTGTCCCAGCTACTGGCAGTCACCTTCCTGCCTGTCTTTCCACATCCCCTTTCCAGGCTGTTCTCAGCGCGATACCCTCTGAAAGCGTGAGGTAGGTCCTTGAATCCTCTCTCGCAGCATCTGGTCACTTCCTTCCCACTCTGTGTGCACCAGCCCATGTGCAAGCCTCGAGTGCTGGCTGCTGTTCCATCAGGCCTTGCAGTCCCTGCGCTGACACCTCACCTCTCCACGTGCCCTACCCGTGCCAGCGTGTTCCCCCTTTGTACCCACTGTGCCTTCTGCTTCTGGGTGGCTCCCGTGGGTGCTTTACACTCCTTTCCTGGTGAACCCTCCCTAACCACTATGCCTAAGATGACTGCCTCCTCCGTTTTCCGTCTCGTTCCCCAGCCTGCCGAGTCCCTTCTGCTGCGCTGTCCTCCACACACCATATATTTCCTAACTTCTGATGAAAATGTTCTGATATCCAGGAAAACTGAGAGGCCAGGACACACAGCCCACATGCAGGTCCAGGGGCCGTTAACATTTTGCCATCTTTTTCACTGAAGCAGTTGCACACGTTCTTCCTCCACCCCGTTGTTTCTTCTGCTTCTCTTAACAGTAATGACCCCCTCTCCATGGTGACAGCGATGCCATCGCATGTGAGACTGAGCAGTTCCTTAGTGTTAGCTGGTGTCTAGACTATCAATGTTTTCCCGATTATCCCTAAAATGCCACTTATATAGCTGATTTTTTTTAACAAGGACTAACTAAAAACCCATATATGTTGGGTTTTTTTTTTGTTTATAAGACTTTGTTTTCCTTTAACTCAGATTTCCCTACTTACATGCAATCATGTGTCTGTGTGGCTGCCTGTGCACGTCTCTGTACGTGGTGCTGGGCATGGAACATGGACCTCGCCACGCTAGGCAAGAGGAGTTTTGGCACTGAGCTACATCCCCAACCCTTTAAAAACATTGTTCTTATGAATCTGGGTCTTGCTGAGTTATCTAGGCTGGCCTTCAAGTTGCAGCCCTTCTCCAACAGCGTCAGCATCGACTCTGTAGAAGACTGACCAGTCATCTTCCGTTATATTCCCCATGTTACTTTTTTTGTGTATTTGGTGTCTTTTTTTTAGACAGAGTCTCATTATGCAGTGCAGGCTGGTCATGCACTTGTTCATGTAGCCCATGCTGGCCTCAAGCTCCTGCCTCAGCCTCCCGAGTGCTAGAATCACAGGTGTGCACTACCATGCCTGGTCCCCCCATTCCAGATTTGTCTAGATGTCTCCTTGCACTATTATTCAACCTGTTCCTCAGCTCCTTGTAGTCTTCACAAACTGGAAGTTGGATCTAAAGTGCTGGTTAAATTTAGGCTAAGTATGATTGGCCCAAAGACTTCCTGGGCAGGGCTGTGAATGTCATAAGGTATTATGTTGGGAGATGAGTTAGCTTGAGGGTGTTTCATTTTTAGTGAGCTGCATTTGGCTTCTTGGTTAATGTGGTGATTATTAAATCTTCCACTGTAAAAGACATTTTTCCTTCTCAGAAAGTAATCTGTGGGTGACTCTTTGAAACATTTTTTTACATTTTTTTTTTTTTTTTTTTTTTGTCTTTTTCCTTTTTATCGGTCCCGGGGATCAAACTCACGACTGCCTGCTTGCAAGGCAGGCACTTATGCCGCTGAACTAAACCCCCAGTCCCCGAAACATTTTTTTAAAAAACACATCTTCCCAGTGTGTATTGTGTCTCCCCACCAAGACAGCGGGGAGCTGGGATTAGAACCCGGCTGTCTGACAGTAGTCGAACCCCAGCCTTGCTCAGAGCCTGTGTCTCCCTTGCATGGGTAACAGGTGTCTGTTGTCCTGCGGATGTGTGAGCTTTTTAGAGGTAACAGCTTTGCTGGAAGTCAGGGCTGCTGCACCCCTACTTCCTGCCGTGGTGCTAGAGATGGGACCCACGGCCTCATGCAGGTAGGCAGGCGCTTTCCCCTGGGCTGTGTCCCCAGTACTGTCTTAGGCTTCTTTACATCCTTTACAATGCTTGGATTTACAGTAGCTGGCATTTGTTCTGTCACCACCACCCCCCCACCAGAAACACAAATTGTAGAGGTTCTTGCATTGAGTGTAAGAGTTGAGGGTCTTAGGGAGACTGTGCAGTGAGCCTCTAGGCCGAGATAGCCCCAGGTCCTCTTAGATACAGGAAGTGTTCTGATGATGAAGATTTCTTGAGCACCTGTTTTGCTCCATCACCTCCAGCCACAATGAGCAAGTCTTCTGAGAGCCGTGGACCCCCCCACAGTGCCAGTTCCCCTTCAGAACGGGTGTTCCTGATGCCCCCACCCCGGAAGGCCCCTCTCAGCATCACTGGCACCCCTGTCCTCGAAGACTTTCCCCAGAATGATGATGAGAAGGAGCGGTTGCAGCGGAGGCGCTCCAGGGTCTTGGACCTGCAGTTAAGCGCAGACTCTCCTCACCTCCTAGCCTCCCCCACCAGCAGGTGACCGACTCCGGGCTGCTCTTCTGGGGGCCACCTTGGGCGGGCTCATGGCTCTGGGCATCTCCACAGTGCTCCGTGGATGCTGGGTTTGGGCTTTGAAAAGGTGCATGTTGTGAGTTATTTGGTTTGTTGTTGCTGTTATCCATTAGGAATGTTGATGTTTCCGCCACGATTCCTAAGTTTACGAACACGCAGATTACAGAGCATTACTCCACCTGCATCAAGCTGTCCACTGAAAACGTGAGTATTTCCTGGGTGGCCACTGCAGATGTTGCATCACAATCACGGGGAAACCTAGTCTTTTTGAATCAGTGGGGAATGTGTGAAAATTACTGTACTCTCCAGTCTGGCTTCCTGGCGCTGGTGTCACTCAGGATGGTTCTGACCTTTGGTGCTTGCCTGAATGGGCGGCCTGCTACCTACTATGTGTCTAGAGAGGAGTGAGGCCCAGGGTTAATGTGCACTCTGGTCCAGCCTGAGTGGAGCCCTTTCTCCTGTCTCTGCCGCTTAGAAGCTGTGTGACCAAAGAGTCACCAGTGGCGCTGCTGCTCTCCCACACCTTTGCTGTGTAATTCAAGCTGGCCTTGAACTCGCTACGGAGGCAAGGCTGCCGTCACTCAAGGCCATCACTCAAGGCGGTCGTCCTGCCTCTGCCTCCTGATGTTGGGTTACAGGTGTGCACTGTTAACACCCACCTTCCTCCTCTTAAGTGAGAATGAGGACGGTGCCTGCCTGGTAGGGCTTCTCTTGCCGGATCCTCGCCTTGAGGAGGAGGAGGAGGAGGAGATGTGTGTAGATGTGGTTCTGTTGTCAGGTGCCTGTGAAAACCAAGATGGGGGTAGGAAGTGAACAGCCTATGTGAAAACTTAATTTCCTCTCTTTAGGGAAGCATTGTACACAAGATCTGAGGCTCTAAATGACAAACCTTGCTACATTTTCTGTTTCCAGAAAATCACTACCAAGAATGCTTTTGGCTTACACTTGATTGATTTTATGTCTGAGATCCTTAAACAGAAGGACACCGAACCAACCAACTTTAAAGTAAGAAGGATGTTTATTGCTTTTTATGTCTGATTAATGTTACTTCTGAATTCAGCAAATACGATAGACATTGTGTTACTCCCCACCCGTCTCTGATTTTTCTTGGGACGTGCATATGTTTTATGAGACTTGCTGATTTTGGCTGTTGCAAAGTGTTTTTTCTGCCTTTTCACGAACTTAGCTCTGCTGGTTTGACTAGGTAGCCGCTGGTACCCTGGACGCCAGCACCAAGATCTACGCTGTGCGCGTTGATGTTGTCCATGCTGATACGTACAGAGTCCTGGGGGGGCTCGGCAAAGACGCCCCATCTCTGGAAGACGTGGAGGAGGACCCTGGTGCAGGTGTGTGGGCTGGGGTCTAGATTTAAGTCTTCTTTATGGTGCACCAGGTAATTATGTGGGTGACATACTAGAGTGAAGTCTCAAGACATCATTTACTCTATTGAGGATAAAGGCGTTTTCGGAATTGTCAGTATTTCTTCTTGGTGCTGTTTCTTTCTTTTTTTTTTTTTTTTTGGTCTATTTCCTTTTTATCGGCACCGGGGATCAAACTCACGACTGCCTGCTTACAAGGCAGGCGCTTTTGCTGCTGAGCTAAATCCCCAGCCCCCTTGGTGCTATTTCTTTTGGTCCTTGTTGTTACTCCTCTGTAAGGTGCTCTGGTTTGGCAATGAAAGTTATTCTTCTTTGAAAAAGACTAGGACCTTTCCTGGCAAGTGCAAGGTCATGAGTTCAATTCCTGATACCTAAAAGGTAAGGGCCTTATAAAAGTGTTTAGATTTTGTTTAAGTGGGCTGGGTGTAGTGGTACATATCTGTAATCCCAGCACTGGAGGCTGAGGCAGAAAGATTGCTGGGAGTTTGAGACTGGCCTGGGCTACACAGGGAGTTCAAGGCCAGCCTGAACTGCATAGCAAGGCCTTGTCTCAAAAACAAGATTTTGTTTGGGCAGGGTTGAGCAAATACCACCAACTGGAGGGCTCTGACTTGGAGAACCTTGAACAGTGACTACATTAAAAGCCATGTACCAACACTAGTAATTCAGTTTTCCCGTAAGCCACTGATTAAATAGGACCTGCTGCTTTGAGTGAATTTCAGTTGTTTAAATTGTGACCACTCAAGGGTTTTGAGGAACTTGAATTAGTCCAGTGACACACTTCAAAGCAGTCCATGCAGTTCGAATTCTTATTCCTTCTTTTAGACGGAAGTGCTACTGAAACAGGAACAACCAAAAAGGCTCCAAAGCCAAAGAAGAAGCACTCCTCCAAAACCATCGAGCAGAATGTAAACAACCTCAATGTCTCGGAAGCAGATCGAAAGTGTGAGGTGAGGAAGGGTCCCCTGCAGCGGGAGCTGGGACTTGGAGGGCTGCGCCTGCCTGCTGGACTGGGCTCACTGAAGCTTCAGAGAATAAACTATTTAGCTGGTATCCACATCATTATCCTGAGCTTCACAATGAAGTCTGAAGGTGGGAAATTCTTCTCTTTCAGAGTACTGGAATAGAAAGAGATTGCAGGTTCAGCATGGTGGTTTGTGCTTGTAATTCCAGCACTCGGGAGGCTGAGGCAGGAGAATTGCTGGGAGTTTGAGGCCAGCCTGGGCTATGTAGTGAGTTCAGGATCAGCTTGAACTACATAGTAAGGCCCTGTCTCAAAAAACAAGACAATTCACCCAAGAAAGAGATTGCAAATTACTAAGGGATCTGGTTAAAAACTTTGGTTTTATTTCCAAGAGCACACTGCATTGGTGAGGCTACACACACATTAGGTACTGTGTGCTTCCCTAAGCCACCTGCTAAGTAACCTGCCCAAGAGATTCGTCCTGTCTTGTAAGCTGGGGTCTGCAGTTGAGTGGCCTGACTCTAGCAAATCCTAAGGAACTGCTTCCAGTAGTAGTCCTGGAGGACTTAAAACACCAACAGAGCAGATGGTGGTGCTCTACTCCCCCCGCCCCACCACCAAATTTTGTTATTAAAAACATTCCTTAAGTGTGAGATGGTAGCCTAACATGTGGAAGTACCCTAACATCCCCGAAGTCCTCCCCTGGGAGTGTCTTTAGTTGCGCCCTCACCCTCACTGTCTTAAATGGATTCAATGTATTTTCCCTTCATGATCGCTTGCCTGGTGCTAGATCTGGTGAATAAGGAGGTGAGGGCGCACCACAGTGTTTCTGTAACCCTGCCTGTCTGTGGGTGACACTGCAACAGCGGTCACTGTATTTTTTATTGCACTTCATAAAGATACTGGTGAAAGAAGACTTCAAGAACCGTTTCAGAAATGGCCAGAACAGCAGCATAAGTGTGCTCCAAGCAATGGAGAGTACGTTTAGAGAAATTAATGGCAATGTGTCAGTCACCGTGATACATTCATAAAATTTAAACTTTCACTGTATATTTTGATCACCTTGTATGTCCTCAGCTGTTTTTATTTTGAGACAAACGTGTCACTGAGTTGCCCAGACTGGTCTTGAAATGGGATCCTCTGGCCTCAGTCTTCTAAATAGTTGAGTTTGTAGATGAGTTCCACTGTGCCCGGTCATCATGGCTTCTTGAGTGCAAAGTCCTGCCACAGCTGCCTTTCTTTCCACTGGGATTGGCCTGAAGAGCTAGAAGGCCTTCCCTGACTTGATCCTGGACAGACACGTTCAGTTCCATTTGTGCCCATGCCGGGCATCTGGGTCTGTGCTGGTGTTGCCCCTCATCCGTGGTCTCTGCCTGTTCTCGTATTCAGGTGGATCCCATGTTTCAGAAGACCGCAGCCTCGTTTGACGAGTGCAGCACAGCGGGGGTGTTCCTCTCCACCCTGCGCTGCCAGGATTACCGGAGCGAGCTGCTCTTTCCTTCTGACGTGCAGCCACTGTCCACTGGGGAGTCCTGCGAGCTGCCAGATTTAGGCTGGGTAGAGATGACAGACTTGAAAGGTAAGCACAAATCATTCCTGTCACCAGAGCTTTTTAGTCAACAGAGACGTTTCCCCTGTAACCGCTGATGCAGCCATCAGGCACTCATGTTTGCACATTTGTCAGATACCACACAGGGTGTCCTTTAGGCAGCGTCCAGCTCTGTGCAGTAACCCACGTGTCTGCGCCATGTCCCTGGGTGCCCACTGGTCACTGCCAGTTCTTGTGGCACAGGCTCGGTCTGGATGTTAGAGTCTGGCCAGAGAGGCCTTGCCTGATTTGCTACACGTACGGGAGACCTTGAGGAGAAGAGGATGTGGTCATTTGTTTTCAGGGCCCTCTGACAGTTTGAGGACTGACCTGTCTGTGAGTCCGGTTGCACCAGCTTGCCAAGATTTAAACACACACCCATTCTACCCTTGAGCCCAAGCCTGGGGTCCTCGAAGGGTGCAGGCATAGGCAGCCGGCAGGGTGAAGTCAGACAGGCTGTAGGAGCTGCACCTCCTGGGTTTTTTTTTTCTCTCTTTTTGGTACTAGGGATAGGGCTTTGCACTGAGCTGTGTCCTCAGTGTTTCTTTTATTTTTTATTTTAACACAGGATCTTGGTAAGTTGGTAAGTTGCTTCAGCCCCTCAGAGAGCAGTGATCAGAGATGTGTGTCACCACCCTTGGCTCTGTGGCCATGTTTACAAGTTGGAAAACATTGATCCTTGTCTGCTCAGCAAAGCCCTGCAGATGTAAGAGCAGCCCTTCTCATCTGTTCTGCTCTTGCCTAAAGTTTGCGGAGTATTAACAGCTTGGGGCTAACAGTGTTTCCCATGTTTTCTGCCTTTGGCTGGCTCTGATCCTTGGAGGTAGATGGGTTTGGGACTAAAAATAGGCTTGTCACATGATTGCTTATGTGCTATGTGCTTTAGAGGAAGGAGTTTTGGTTTTCCCCATAGCATAGTGGGAAAGTTCATTCCAGAACCAGCTGTCTGTGCTTCAGGGTTTTCCTGTAGCATTTCACTAACTCTGGTGATGGTGGCACAGCCTGGCCCACTGTGGGGTGGACCTGTGTCAACCGCAGTTGGCACACGGAGGTTGGCAGCCTGCTGGTGTTGACATCCCAGCCCCTGCTAGAGAACAGGAGGTGACTGTGCCTCTGAACTCTGCTGTGCCCATTGGCTGGAGGTATGCAGGAGATCAAGGAATGTACCCACACCCTCTGGTATCTCCTGACCTCACTGTGCTCCCCTCCAGCACCCTTGCAGCAGTGTGTGGAAGATCGCCAGCTCTGCCCCTCCTTGGCCAGCTTCCAGTTCACCCACTGGGACAACGAGACGCATACCGAGGTGTGGTCAGCGCTGGGGCTCCCAAGGGCTCCAGGCACTTCTCTAGCGGGTAGTGGTTTCGGTTAAATGGCTCGAGATTAGTTCTGTCCAGTGGGAACCAAAACTGTAGCATCATTTTTATTTAACTAGGGGTACAGGAAATATTTCCTTTGACACTTCTGTAGGGATTAGAAAGCTGGTGGGTTGGGGCGGAGTTGTGAACTGCACTGAAGGACCATTGTGGGATCACTAAGTGGCCATGTCCCTTGTGAGTGAACTTCCTTTTCTTTCTTTGGTGTTGCTAGGGAGGTCATCCAGGATCTGACACATGCTAGGAAAGCATTCTGCCACTGAGCTATAAGCTGTATCTCTAGCCCTTTAAGAAGAAGTTTTAAGATAGTATTCTCTCCCAGTTGTCCAGGCTGGCTTTGAATTTTGAATTCTCCTGCCTCAGACTCCCAAGTAGCTAGCATGACTGGCATGTACCAGCAAACTGGCATGTGTGAAGTCTTTTTATCAGATTTACTATCAAACATGGTTATTCCAGTGGACTGTGGTCTCAAGCTGCTGTCAAGCTCGAGGCATTTCCTGCTCGTTGGGGTTGAGTCCCCTGGCACCCAGTTTCCTGAGGAATTGTCATGTGTAAGACCTTCCTTGGTATATTTTTAGCATGGCCCCCTTTAGCCTCGTTGCCACAGCTTCCAAAATAAATGGTCTCCATGGGAAACTGTTTTCTCTACATGTGCAGTTAATGGGTGCAGATTCCTGTCTCATGTTTTGCAAAGCATGCCTGACAATGCAGCCTCATCCTGTGCTGCACAATATCAACTTCCTCAGTGCCTGGCTCCGGGAGAGTGCTGGCTCCAGGAGGTGCGGGCAGGGTGAGGGCTGGCAGTCAGAGTGCGGGGCTGGGCTTGGGCAGCCGCAGAAAGGGGCACAGCCAGAGAACTCGCTCTCGCCCCTGCAGTCTGTGTCGGCCCTGATAGACAAGTTCAAGAAGAACGACCAGGTATTTGATGTCGACGCGGAGGTTGAGAGTGACGGCGGGGACTTCATGGATGGGGCCCCGGAGGACGACTTTGATGCCAATGATGAGCCCGAGCACACTGCAGCGGGAGACGATGAGGAGTTCAGGAGCTGGAAGGAGCCTCACCAGCTCCAGAGCTGCGAGTAAGGCTCTCAGGCCTCCAGAAAGTGTTCCAGGGGCACTCCTTGTCTGGGCTGAACAGGTCCCCACAGGGAGATAAGTCTTCATCTCTGATTGGCTGGGCCAGTGGGCCATGTGGTGCAGATTAGTGGAGCCCTGTGCCTGCAGTGGAATCAATGCCTGCATTGTGTGTGGGCCAAGCCACTTAGGTTATCAAACCGACCCTGCAGAAACTAGTAAGGACAAGAAAGATTTAATACTGGAAAAAGTACTGGGACTTAAGCTGGGCATGGTGGCACTCAAGCAGAAGGATTAAAAGATTGAGTCCAGCCTGGGTAACTTAGCAAGACCCTATCTCAAAAATAAAAAGGGCTGGAGACGTGGGTTGCTGGTAGAGCATTGGCCTGGCATGCATGAGGCCTTAAGTTCAGTTCTCTTACTGCAGAAGTGAAACTGTAGCTTAACTTAGTAGCCGCTCCACTGTAGCTGTCATTGCTTCTTGCATGTGGTGTCTGAGACAGTACTTCCTTTCATATGCTGGCTTTGGCCACATGAGTCACAGACATTAAGCAGGTATATCGCTTGTACAACGGCATAGCACTTGCCAGAGAGGTAAGCCAGCTGGCCAAGCAGTGCAGGTCACTAGTTGGCCAGCTGGGGGACACAGCGAGCCAAGTAGAGCTGCGTACATGTAATCTGGTGTGTTGTGGGATGCAGAGTAGATGGGACTGAGTATGCATGACAAAAAATGCAAAAGGTCTTGGTTGGCTTTCAGTAGATGTACTCGATAGGCCATATTACTTAATTCTTAGCATGACTGGACACAGGATCTCACAGCTCTTCAGTGTCACTGGCTCACAGATCCTGGGGAGGGGTAGGGGACATGGGCTCAATGTCCCTCTGTTTGCGCCTCTGTTCATAACTGCAGCTCTGCAGGCCTGGGGTTGGGGACAGCCAAGGTGGTGTCATTTGGACAGAGCCTCGAGCGTTGTTCGGTGTCTTAGACAGCTCTGCTGCAGGGCTTAGGGTTGGGAGGTTTCTTTCTTGAGTAGTTTGCCTGCCTGTGGGAAATGGCTAGGTGGATAATGTATCTCAGAATTGGAGTACATCTGGCATCTCCAGGCAGAGTCACCTATCCCTGCCTGTTTGCCTCTCTTCTTCTGATTCGTCAGCTGACTTAGCTTTAGCCTGCCGGTTCCCATCCTGCCTGCCCAGAGGTGAGGATGGTAGGCGCAGGTCAAAGGGTGAGCACCTCTAATGCCACGGTCACCCATCAGAGCAGGGTTCTCATGTGACCTGCTGGTTATTTAAACAGACGGCATTTCTCCAAACAGCACCAAACCCTGGTCTCTATCCTCCTATGTGTGTTGGGGCAGGAGGCTGCAGCTGGGCTTTGCCAGATTCAGATCCACTGCCCTGGGCATGGGGCTGGCCTTTCCCAGAACTTGCTAAGATTTGCTCTGGAGTGGACCTAACCTTGCTAGAGAGCTATGAGGTGTGGGCAGTGCCGTTGCCTTTGGGTTTCTTTATGAGGCAAAGGGCTGGGACTAGATAAGAATCATCATCTTTGAGGGAGTTTGTGCTGTTGCTGAGTGGCACAGATGCCTAGCACGTGTGCGAGGCCTTGGGTTCAATCCCTGGCCCTGTAAAACAGTCCTCGCTGGGAATTTTTTAGCCCCTTGTTCTAACTTCTCTCCAGATGCTATGGCAGTGGCTCATTATTTCCTGTAGTTGTATAATGTTGCTCAGCCCCCTAACTAGGTACTGTTGTCCCCCTCTTACACATGAGGAGACAGGCCCTCAGAGGTTGCATGGAGGGTAGAGCTCTTAGCACCTAGCACAATGGACCAGACTTCCTGTGTATGGGGATCTTTTTTTTTTTTTTTTTTTGAAAGCCAGTCAAATTTAGCAGTGGGGGGGTGGTATACCAACTTTAGTAACACTAATGTTAGTCAGTTCTGATAACCCACTGCCATCGGACCAGCCAGTGTATGGGGATCTTTAGATGGCAGCTTCCACTCCACACGGGCTGCCTTGTGATTTTCATAGTTCACGGGTGTGCCCAGCTTGAACCCACAGAGCAGAAAGATCAGGGCAACTTGCTCAAGGTGGGCTGGAGTTAGCACTGGGTGGTAAACTCCACTGTCAGACAAGAGGCTTTTGTTATGGGTGCTGGATGGCAACTCTGACAGCAGCGCAGTGTTAGAAGTAGCGCTCAGTGCCAGGGATTTAGTTCAGTGGCATAAGCATCTGCTTGGCAAATGTGAGGTCGTGAGTTCAATCTCCGGTACCAAAGTAGCTCTTTCCAGCTGGGCCTCCTAGCACAGTGCCCTCTAGGAGGTGCCCTGTACTGAAGGACCAGAGCACGGCCCCCTTGGTGCATGCGGGAAGGGACATGTTGCTGGGCTGGCTGGTGCCATAGTATGGTGCACTGTGCCAGGGCTGACAAACAGGAGGGGCCCTGTGATGTGAGAGGGCTTAGGAGAAACGGTCCTGGCTGTGCTGGAGGAGTGTGGGGGCCCAGCTTTGTGACTAGATTGTCTGACCTATTGAAGGGGTACCTTGGGCAGCTGGCACCCATCGTACTACCTGTGCAGTGACAGAACTGTTGATGACTAGCCTTTGGGAAGCCTGCAGGGCCTTCACACAGCCTGGGCCAGGCCCTCGGGAGGGAACCAAGCTCTCTGTACCTTTGCCTCTTGATGCCCAGCCACTAGAACTCTGGACAGCAGAGGGCGGTATCCAGGGGTGCTCCTGTAGCCTGCTTGCTGCTGAATGATAGGGCTAGGCATTGAGATCTGTGACAGCCAGGTTGTATGTTATGTTATTTTTTGGTACCAGGGATCGAACTTGTACTTCCCAGGCAGGTGCTTGTGCCGCTGAGCTAAATATCCAGCTTCTTAGTGTATTTTAAAGCTAAGTTTTATTTACATGATAAATGCACAAATACAGTCTTTTTTTAGCTATTAATATATAGATAAAGCCAAAGTCTCCTTTGAAGAGCTTTTTCCTTGCCTGGGCGTCTGGAGTGGCCTTGCCACCATCACCCCTAGGGGGCAGCACAGCTCTTGAGGCGAGAGCTGCCACACTCTCCTAGCTCCTTGGAGAAGGATGAAAACCTAATGGTCACGCTGCACAGGCCACTTAGGCTGTCACACCCGGCAGGGAATAAAGCTAGAGGCCCAGCAGATCCTGGCAGGTCCCTGAAAGTGTCTGAAGGACTGAAAATGAAGTCAGCATAAATAAGGCCTTGTTCACTGAGAGCACTGTTCTGAGTGGGCCTGCAGCAGCGTCAGAGTACCCTCCTCCCTGGGTAGGGGGATAGAGGACACTCATGGTGCGTGGTGTGCGGCTGGACTCAGGCGATGGAATCCAGCTCCCAGGCCTCACCTGCTACTACCTGTGTAGTTGTACATAGAAACCTCATTTCTCAGAAATAAACATGTGGGGCTCAGTTTCTCAGTACTTCCTTAATAGTCTCTCAAATTAGCATTTGAAATTAGCGTTTATGAAGGACTTTCAAACACCCCAAGCAATTGCATAGACATGAGCATATGTTATGAAATTAAGAGAGACAGATGCACTGGAAAAGTAAGGGCTAAGGGTTGTTACAGGATTTGCTGTGACGTGGCCCTGAGGAACGCTGTTTGCTGTGGGAATGTGGGCAGGTAGCGTCTCAGGGGGGACATTGTATGTATCTTTACATGTAAATACGTGGTTGTGTTATATGTAACATACATGAACACACGTGCTTTCTTGTGGATTACAGGGAAGCGATGATTTCTCTTGGGGACGGAGACATTCAGACCATGTGTCCCCTTCTGTCCATGAAGCCTGGAGAATATTCCTACTTCAGTCCCCGGTCCATGAAGATGTGGGCTGGCCCCGATCACTGGCGTTTTAGGCCTCGATCCAAACGTATGTACCTCCTGTGGGTTGGCTCTCAGGACAAGGGGTGTGGGTGACCAGCCAGTTGGCTGCTAGCTGGGGACAGATGGCACAGATGAGCTGGCCTGGGATGAATGTCAGTTAAAACTGCGGGCTCTGAGTGGAGGAGTAGGACCTCAGGGTCAGAAAGGCCGGGCCCACAGCCTCACACTACTCTTGGGGAATGTCAGCCTTGCCCAACACCATACGGGTGACTGCCTGACCTGCAGCACACCGGGCATCACTAGGAGGGCAGCACTCTGCCTTCCAGGCCAGCCTTGAGCTGCGGGAATCATGAGGTGGAAGTCGGGTGTGCGATGCGGTGTGCCTGCCTGTGGAGCTGCGCAGCTGCGTTGTGTCCCAGGCCGGTGAGGCTGGCACGATGAGCTGGCTTAGGCTGCAGACGTGGCCAGCAGCTTCTGTGCTCCTTCCCGCAGAAGCCACTTCCTCCCAGTGGGAAACCAGGAAGAAGAGCACAAAGAAAGATTTCCAAATAGACTTTGACGAAGACATTGACTTTGATGTATATTTTCAAAAAACAAAGGTCTGTATTAGATTTATTAGCATTTGTGCTTCCTTAACTTACTGTACCCTCTCCCTTTCAGATGTGAGTTCATTGAGATTTCACTGGCTCACTTTCCCACCTCTCTAAAGGAGTTGTTGAGAAAGATCCCAGCAGGGCTGGGAAGGATCACCTTTAGAATAAGAGGGAGAATGCCTGGCAGAGTTGCCTTTTTTACACAGATTTGGGGGATCTCTGATCTGTTGGGTGACCAATGCCATCCAAACCCATTAAAAAAAAAATAAGATATTTGACCATTATTATCAAAAATGCCTGAAAGCGTTTTGTTTTAAATGACTAGGCTGCTACTGTTCTGAGTAAGTCCACCTTGGAGAGCCAGAATTGCAGAGCCACCACCCTACCTGTGGATTTCCAGTACAATATCAACACCCTTGTCCAGCTGCATCTCAAGCCAGGCATGAGGGTAAGGCCACCCTGGGTTCCTTCGGGCTGTTGTCGATGCACATGTGGTGACAAGTGGCTGGTGGTGTGATTCTAGCAGCACCACTGAGGACAGGACATGAAGGGGGGTGTCTGTTGGCTGGCAGCTGCAGTGGGGCGAGGCAAAACTGAAGGGGCAGCTGGTAGGGAAGATTCAGAGACTCTTGCCCAGGCTGGGCACAGCGGCACTTGCCAGTATCCCAGCACTGTGCGAGGTTGAGGCAGGAAGATAGCAAGTTTGAGTCCCATCTGCATAGGTTAGTGAGACCTTGTCTCAAAAAATGTAACAAGTACAGGAGGTATAGCTCTGTGTAAGGGCCCTGGACTCAATCCCCAATACAAAAGACGAAAAAGAAAAGGAAAGAAACAGCCCAGGTGCTGGCTGCTGGATGAGTGAATGCATAGTCTTGGTGAGGTTCCAAAACTTGTGTTATTTCTTGATTCCCTGGCTTTGTCCCAGAACTGTGGGGTCGCTTGCCTGGCGCCTTCCGTAGCCCATACTGCCCATACTGTCTTGCTTGTGATCCAGGTATAGAGGGCACCACAGCAGCACACGGCTACCGTCCTCAAGTGTGCCTGCCGACGCTCCCACTAGGACTCCTGAGAAGCCCCAAAGCTGCTGGTCTTGTGCCCTGATTCCTCCCTGCCTGTTTGCCTGTGGCCCCTCTCATGGTACTGTTGGCAAGAGACAGTGAGGTTTCTGTCACAGTCACAGAGCAAAGTTGAGTCAAACCTGGCCTGGCTTCACACGAGGCCCTTGTCAGGACTGTGCGTGGGGACTGCTGTTGTTGGCCTGTAATGTGTCTGGACTTGTATGATGAGAATACTGTGAGCCTGGGTTGCTTTCCCCCGCAAAGTACAGAGAATTGTGGAACTGTATTAAATGCTCAGTGCACCCACGTCCACAGTCCGGTGCAGACCACTGGAGTAAGGCCCGCAGATGCCGCCAGGGCTGTGGTCAGTGGCCTCCAGAAGGATGCATGGTTCTGTGAGGCTGTAGATGGCACCAGAGGAGGACGAGGTGACCGCCAGGTGGTGAAGGTTGTGGGTTTTCCTCAGAATTGGTCAGGGGCCACACGTTGACTTCCTTTCGGTGGCTGTGAGCAGAGGCTTCCAGCATTTGGGTTTAGAGCAGGGCCAGTTTTCACATGATACTGTACGGGAGATGAAAGATGTCTTTGCAGATGGGAGGCGCGGCTGCTTCGTGCTGCGGGGTGGTGACAGGTCGACAGCTGTGGTTCTGGGAAGTCGGGCACAGCCAGGGAACAGGACTCCCCGACTTGGTGCAGTGGCTGTGCGAGTGCATCTCTTTGTTTTCGTTCTTTCACTCTAGTTACTTAAGATGGCCCAGGGCCAGAAGGCAGGCGCTGAGCATTATGAGGAAATTGGGGACTATGACTACAACAACCCCAACGACACCTCCAACTTCTGCCCTGGACTCCAGGTAAGGGTGAGCTCTGTCATCTCCGCTAAGCGGGAGCTTTCTTTCCCTCTTCCCCTTCCCTTCCAGATGGTGGGGCTGGAGGGCTGTGAACTGCTGGCTCTTCTGGGTGCAGGTTCTGCCTCTGTGCTGGGTGCCAGTTCCGCCCCCACCCCTACCGGCCTGCACCCTGAGGTGTTGGATGCCTCGGTAAATGAGCCGGTGCACAGGTGGAGCCACTCACCTGGCCCTCGAACACCGGACTCGGCTATTTTGGGATTTCCCGGGAATGGGAACCCTTCTTGTCCTGGCTGGGTAAAAACCACACAGACGTGAGAGGTGGTGTGGTCTGGTGGGGCAGAAAAGTCCACAGGGTGTTTCAGAGGCCCCGATGCCCCTGGAAGATCGGACTCCACCTCTGACTTTATTTTCTCCCTTGTGAGCCCGGAGGAGCCCCTCCATCTTTAGATCTTGGCTGTGACTAAGTAATTGCCACTTCTCGTTAGTAAGTCTGCCACTGGGATAGTAAATGCATGGGGCAGAAGTGGGGAGCAGTGGCTGCATCTGCAGCATGCCTGCAGTGGGGGAAGGAAAGGCACCAGGAGGATGGTCACACCCCGGCCTCACAGCACAGGAGGGCAGCTGCTAGTGTAGTGGGAACTTCCAGGCCCCGAGGACTCACCTGGGAGGCTTTTCCGAGACAACCTCACTCCTCCCGAGACCTGGGTTTTTCTTGGTGGGGTTGGGGTACCAGGGATTGAACCAGGGACCTGTGTGTTGACCTATACCTAGGTCCCCATCTTGTGCCTTTGTTACCCAAGGGGTAGATTTGTGCATCCACTGTCACAGGACACTTTAAGTCTTCATTGGCTAGAAGCCACGGGCCACTGTGACTGTGGGAATGGCCAAGTTCCCTTAGCTCTTGCTGTAGAGGTCTTAGGGTGGCAATAGGTCCGTTGTGGGACCGTTGGGCGTGCTGCTCTGGCTTCCTGCGCTCGGCTGCTCCGAGGCGGTTTCTGGCCCTGTTGGCAGCTTCCTGAACCCTGAAGAGGTGTTCGCTTGTTCAGGCCGCCGACAGCGATTCCGAGTCAGACAACTTACTCACAGAGCCCGCTGGGACTTTTGACCTTACCTCTGAGCCCTGCCACACACCTCTGACAGCACACAAGAACGGTGGCACTCCTGAGGACCACAAGGACATCACAACGTACGGGGAATCCAACCTGGTGGCTGAGCCTCAGAAGGTAAAGATGCAGTGGTGGAGACCTGCACCGTTTGCTGGACTCTGTTTAGTTTGCCTCCTGTCTGAGAGTGCATCGGCCTGTGCCTGGCCCCACCTGCTGCTGTGCAAGTGGCTGTGTCCTGAACAGGGCTGCCGGGTGGGCCTGGTGCCAGGTGGAATTAACTGACTGTCTCCAAAGAGCTCTGTCATGCATTTGTGCTGGGGTGGAACCTGGGCCTTGTGCCTGCTGGGCAAATACTGGAGCTGCCTGTGCTCCAGCTCCAAAGATCTCAATAAGTCACATAACTAGGGCTCAGCCTGTCACCCAAGTAAAGCAACTTTGAGGAGGCTGTGGGCAGAGAGCAGGAATGTGGATGCCAGTTGAGCAAGGCTGGTGTGTGGCTGGTTCAGTTAATGTTAAGTGAACATGCATTGTATATCTCTGTTCCATACCAGTTAGCCGGCTTGGTGCTTTTGTTAATATTTTATCCTCTTATCTCTTTTGCACTAGCACTCAAGGTTAGTTTTTAATCCAGATTACTTTTTGCAGGGGTGGCACTGGGGACTGAACCCGGGGCTACTGAGGTATATCCCAGCCCTTTAAAAAAAAAAAAAAGAGGCAGGGTCTTACCAAGTTGCTCGGTCAAGTGCTTGGGCTTGGAGTTCTCTTGTCTCAGCTTCCTGATCAAAAAGAAATTTTAAAAATGTTTTTTAATTTTTTTTTTTTTTGAGACAGAGTCTTGCTATGTTGTTCAGGTAGGTCCTGAACTGACTCTGTAGGCCAGGCTGGCCTCAAACTCCCAGCAATCCTCTTGCGTCAGCCTCCTGAGAGGTGAGATCTAAGGCGTGCGCTACCACACCCAGCTGAGAAATTCAGCAGGAAGGACTTGATGTGTGTAAGAGACTGTAACTTTTTTTTTTTTTTTGGTGGTGCTGTGGATCAAACCCAGGCCTTGTCCATGGAAGGCAGGCGCTCTGCCACTGAGCCACATCCCACATCCTCAGCCCAAGACTCTGGTTAAAATTGGAAGTGTTTCCCTGCTGAATAGTCCCTGCCCACCCAAGGTAGCTGTCTGCTTGCTGGCTCGCTCCCTCCCCCATCTCCCATCTTTACATAAATTGTCTAAGTCCAGAGTTTTACAGGGACCCAGTGGTGTTTTCCTTCTGTTCCCATCCTCCTTTCAGGTAAATAAGATTGAAATTCATTACGCCAAGGCCGCCAAAAAGATGGACATGAAGAGGCTGAAGCAGAGCATGTGGAGCCTGTTGACAGAGCTGCCCGTCAAGGAGGCCAGCACCGAGGTGGGTGACGGCTGCATTCTGCAGCAGCTGGGCTGACAGTGACCACTCCGGTGCCTCTGAGCGCTGGCCTCAGGAGGACATCACAGAACGGGGGCACAGATGGCAGGCTAGTGCCTGGGACATGTTTGCGAGTGCTGGTGACTTAAACCTACAGAAGCACCTTTTGCTGTTTGAAAACAACAGCATTTCAGCCCTGAGGGAGGCTGAGGCAGGAGGATCATTTCAAGTTCAAGACCAGCCTGGGTTACAAAGTGAGCTCGAGACCAGCCTGATCTACGTAGTGAGATCCTGCCACAAAAAAAAAAAAAAAAAAGGATTTCAAAACAACAGTCCCAGTACTGAGTTGAAGGGAAGTTGGAATAGTTATTGCTGTAGCAATTTAAATTGGAAAAGCGAAATACGTGTAACTACCTGTTGGGTGCCATGAAACCCTACTCTCTCTCTCTCCCTCTCTTTTTTTGTTTTTGTTTTTGTTTTTGTTTTGATCTTTTAGAGACAGGGTCTCACTGTGCAGTTCATGCAGGCCTGGAGCTCACTTGGTAGTTCAGGCCTTGAACTAAAACCCTTCTATCTCCTAATTCCGACCTGGGGAATGGATTCTCAGTAGGAAAGTCTCAGAGAAATGATCATGTTGGATTCTTTCTTCTGGGGAAGGAGGTGACACCTTGATGACTTGTCCAACTCTGGCGATTTTAGGCTCCCGCAGTCTCTTGCCATAAGGGCGCACTCAGAGCTCTAGAGCTTAGCCTCCTCTCTGCTGCTGGCAGGGAAGTGGGCGTTCTTGTGGGAGACAAGACTCCCACAAGACTCCCCTTGAATGCAGAACACTTGTTTGATAAACTATTTGATAATAATTGATAAATTATTTGATAAATTGATAAAAGTAAAGATAACTTTGATTGTATGGAAACTTATTTCCTTACACTGATATGTACAGAGCTGGCTATGGTATTTCCTTCACTCTTCAGTTGGCTCTAAGATTGCAAATAAGGCTAGGGAGGTACTGGTATGTAATCTCTAAAGCCCACAGACTGTCTGCTCACATGGTGTTCTCCGTGTAAAGGATGTGAACACGGTGGGATGGTAGAGCCATCAGCTCCAGGAATGTCAGCTGGGTAGGAGCTCAAGGTAAAGAGGCTGTGACTCCCCAGGGCACAAAAGCTTATATATCAGAAACCAAAGCCTCAGCCTCCTCAGATGATTCAGTTGCTACCTTAATTGAATTATGCAAATTGATCTTCTGCATATCCTTATCCCTCTGCATTTTGCAGAGATGCTTTTCTGCCCACCTGGCCAGCCAGCTCAAGTTACGTAATTCCCGCCATCCTCACTGTCACTCATCCCTGAGCCACCCCCTTCTTCACAGGATTATTATCCTGGGAGAATGCTGGGAGAGGCCTAGGATCAGGGCCTTTGTCTGTGCATCCTCACAGGGATTGGACTTAGGACCCTTGGCTGCCCTTAACTTGGAACATGTCTTGGTGTCTTTACTCTCACCCAGGGTTGCATTGGAGGTAGATTGGAATTAACTTGCTGGGATTCCAATAACGTCTCAATGGGATTACAAATGTAATCTTTTGGATTGTGAGGAAAACTGGAAAAGGGATTGAGATACTTGGTTGACTGTACACAATATTTGGGATTCTAATAGTTCTCAGAATGACGGAGGGCCAGAGCTGTGTAGTCTCACATATGCTGGAGAAAGCGTCGGTTCTACTTGGGAGTCCCATCTCCTAACAGCATGGGCTTCAACGGGAAGAAGATTGCATTTTAAAGAGGGCAGGGAAGCAGGTGTGGTGGCTCATACCTGTTATCCCAGCACTCAGGAGGCTGAGGCAGGATGACACTGAGTCTGAGGACAGCCTGGTACACAGTGAGTTGTGGTGCACATTGGGAGTTTAAGGCCACCCCGAATTACACAGTGAGACCCTGTCTCAAAACAATAATAGTAAAGAGGTAGGAGCGTTCTACTTGACTTTCAAATTTAATGACTCCTTATTGATAGAAGTTTCGGCATGGCTAAAAAAATAGGAATATGAAATAAAAGTGGCCTTTAAGAATGTGGAGAGAGAACCCCAGGACCACTGAGGTCTGGCTTTTCTTTCTGCCAGGCAGGTGTTGTGGGGGGCATACATATAGCTTAGGTTTGGGGTGGTGCCTAAGGGGCATTACTGATACACAGGTAGCCCATTGGAATTCATTTTGCACCACAGGTAAATTGCCTAGAGGCAGGGAAGGTGACCTCAAGATAGAGTCCCTTGGTTCTGTCTCCCAGCCTCCCACTGCTGCAGTGTTTAGGGCAAAATCCTTTCACTTATACCCTAGGACTTCTGGTTCATTAAAGGTTTGTTGTTTTAAAAAATCATTTAATTAAAAAATGTCATGTAGAAGTAGAAGAACAGAGAGAAAAATAATGGTCTAGTGTCATGAACCCCCACTTCAGTAACTGAATGTTTTAGTAGATGTTGCCCCTCCCGCCCTCCTGTGCGACATGAGTTCTTCCCAGTGCTAGGGACTGAGTCCTGGCCAGTGTCCTTCACTGAACTTTGTCACGGCCTTTTTTACTTTGAGATTGGTGCTCTCTTAAGTTTCCAAGGCTGGTCTCGAACTCACAGTCCTCATGCTCAGCCGCCCAAGTAACTGTGATCATGAGGGTACATCACCACACCCAGCCACAGATGATTTTTGTGTACATTCTGGCCCTGATGTACTTTCGTAGCTGCTTGCCTCTTGCTGAGGAGGCAGCAGGGTGTTTTAAGTGTGGGTTTTCCACTGCCTTTAGCTGTGTAGTCCTCCTGAAGCTGTGCATCGTTATTTTGTTGTTTTAAGCTTTTCCCCAGGGCTTTTGGGAGCCCCTCTGCGTAGTTTCCCCTTCACCAGGATCGCAGCGGCCGCTGTTGGGATGCTCACTGTAGCTTGGCCGATGCCACCATCTGTCTGCTGTTGATAGCCCATCCCGATGTGTTCTCCAGGGGTAGCCAAGGACTCGCCATGCTGGCCTCTGGAGTGCTTTCCTTGGCCAGTGGTGCACTGGCCTTACCTGTGTGTCTTCTGTCAGGTGAAACCCAGTGAAACTGGCGCAGGAGGAGCCCCGGAGGGGGTGGCCAGTGACAAGATGCTCAGTGGGCTTGTGAAGGACCTGCAGAACAGGTGTGCATCCAATGGGGCAGGGCGGGGCAGCAGGCACACATGGGGCACACTGGGCACAGGGATGCCCCGGGGCCCTCTGCGCCCACCCAGTGGGTCCGAGGGATGGGCCTGCTGTGGTGCGCCTGAAGCCCATTGCCTTGCTGTCCCACCCTCCTACATGTGTGTGTGTGGGGAGCCAGCCTCCTTCTGCCCTGCTCTGACCACTGTGCCCTCCCCTCTGATTCCAGCCTGCCCCCCACCATGTCCCAGAACCTCTCCATCCCTCTGGCTTTCGCCTGCCTCCTGCACCTGGCCAATGAGAAGGTGAGTCCCTGGATGAGCTCTCATTGCAGCCCCCAGGCCTGTCTCCCTCGGCCTTCCCCTGGAGTGTCAGGCAGCACGAGAAGTCGCTGGGCAAACAGGTGCCAGGTTTACCAGCCCCAGAAGTGACCACCACCCAAACAGGAAGAGGTTTCATTTTGTTGTGTTTTTGAGACAGGCTCTCACTGTGTAGCGCAGGTTGGCCTTGAGCTCACCATGTGCCCCACAGTGACCTCACAGCTGAAGCAGTTCTGCATCAGCCTTCCTAAATGGGAGGTGCAGCTAGGCCCCGGAAACCCTCCCCAGTCAGGCTAGAGAGCTGCCGCCTGGGCGCCCAGCTCCTCAGAAGGCTGAGGCAGGAGGCAGTGTGAGCCCCAGCGTTCAAGACCAGCCAGGGTGGCATGGTTAGCCCCTGCCTCAGAATAGCACAAACAAGAATGAAGGTGACGCCCGTTTCACTCAGCGCCCCAGTGCAGGGTGCAGAGCTGTCCTGTCCGGCCTCTCCACAGGAACTGCCGGCTGCCCTGCAGAGGGCTCAGCACAGCAGGGAGAGCTCTCAGGACTCCTGCCCACAGCAGCTGCGGGTGCTGTGACCAGGCGAGGTCACCTCCCGCCTGGAGGGTCCCCCCTCCAGCCTGCACAGTCCCAAAAGTGGTGCACAGCCTGGGAGGCAGCTTCACTCCTGTCTCGAGGGCTGACCTTTCTGCCTTGCCAAGAACTGGATTGGGGGTTCTCCCCCTGTCTGAGTCCCAGTATTCTCGCTCCTTCCTCAGAACCTGAAGCTGGAGGGCATCCAGGACCTCTCCGATGTTCTCGTGAAGCAGAGCAGCTGAAGCCCCTGCCTGACCTCGGAGTGGAGGAGGATGCAGGGGCCTGCAGCAAGGAGTCACTTCCCTGGTCTCTGTCACTGTCTGGGTGCTGATGCCGAGCCTCTGTCCGTGCCAACTGAAGCTGCAATGCTGGCGACAAATCTGGTGGACAGGAGGAGGACAGTATGAGCTTACAGCTCTCCTGTGTGTGTCCCCCGCATGCCCAGGGCCGCTGTCTGTCCTCCTGCACAGCTGCTCACTGTGCTCAGAGCTCTAGTCTGTGTGCACTTGTAAATGTATATACAGTGCTGAAAAAGTCTATCCAAAGAATGTGCCTGGCAAGACAGTTGCATGTCACCTGGTATCCACTGTTGGTGCTGGAGTGGGTTCGTCCAGGACACAGGTGTCACCAGAGGGCAGGAAGTGTGTGAGGCTGGAAGGGCGCAGAGAGGGTGAAGTCGCTGCCAGAGGAGGGTGGGGTCAGTGTCTGGGTCACTGTAGATTCCGCAGGGGCAGTGAAAGCCATGAGCACCGGCTCTGGAAGTGTCTGCCTGTCGCTCTGAGGGTCCTGTCATCTGCCTTCTAGGCCTCCCTGGAAGGAGCGGGCTGTCACCACACTGCTGCTTGAGAGAAGCACATGTGTGAAGTGACATCTAGAGGCACTTGCACCGGAGCCTCCATCCTGGCCACCAAGCCGTGGCAGCCCACTCCGCACTGAGAGCACCCACAAATCTAAAATTTCTCCTGAAGGATTCTGTCCTTGTTGGTCTTGGCTGTGCTGAGCCCCGCTCCCTTGCTGGCTGAGTCGAGGTCTTGATTGCTGGGCCGGAAGCAACAGGGCTGTAACTGGTGATTATTGCTGGCAGCAACTGTTTAACTCCTTAATCCAAAAACCACAGTGTGGCGCACACACACACGCACACACGCACACGCACGTGCTTCCCAGGTGGTGTGTCTGGAGCGTCACTCGCTCTGCACCACCATGCATGTCAGGCTTTGGGGGGCAGCGGCACGTGCTTCCCTAGTCTGGGGCCAGTGGAGTCCCCTGAGCAAGCACCTCTGCCCACTGCGCTCCTTGACAGCAGGATCTGCGCCAGGCTGAGTTTTATGCTCCCCCTTCCTGCCACTCCTGAGCTCCCTCATCATGCTACGTGGTGCCCTGAGGGTAGTGTGGCTGGACACGCAGTGCACAGGTGCCGTGGCCTGGGTGCTCGTGTCCCCTCCATGATGCTGATGTTGAACCTGATGCTCCAAGGGGTCAGATTATGGAGGACACTCAGGGCGAACAGGTCATGAATGATTGGGGCTCCTACGAGAGGCCCAGTGCTCTTTGACCCTCCTGAAAGCCACCTGAGGATGCAGCAAGCAGGTAGCCGCCCACCTGCCAGCCCCGAGTGGGAGCCTTCAGGGTGTCATCTCAGCCGCCTCTGCACCTGCGAGCGCACTGGACAAGCGGGGGCTGGGGTTGCATTTCAGTTAGTTTCCAGCCACAGGACTTCACATACATTTTCTTTTATTTCTCTGAGATTCCCTTTTCGTTGTCTGTTTTCCTTAAATCTGAACATTTCTCTTTTCAGTTCTTTCTGAACATGCTTATAATAGCAGCTCTAAAGTCTGCCACACCCTAATCTGAGTCCTTGTAGCACCAGCTGACTACCCTTTCCTGAGTACAGCTCACAGGTTTGTGTTTCTGTGCAGGGTTAGCCGTTTTCGGGGAAGCCTGGGTACCATGAGTGAAATGTCACCGTCCCTTGATGCTGCTGCTGATGTGTAGGTTTTTACCTGCTCAGCCATGCATTTCCTGGATTTAGACCTCAGGTTTCAGGTCCCTCACCGTCTACAGTAACTGACTGTCTTCATCGCCACCCACCTCCTGCTGTCATACCTGACCGCCTCTGCTGCCCGTCAGCTTGGGTGCTGAGCCAAGGCTGTGGCTGTCTCCAGGACTTCTCCTGCGGTTACCGGTGCCCTGCCTGCCTCAGGCTCTGTCCTTCCTGCCCACCAAGCTTCTGCTTTTTGTGGCGCTGGACACCTTCTTGCCCGCTGTCCCTCCCTTGGGCTCTGTTCTCTGGCATCTTCGGCCAAAGCTGTGGGAATTGGGTGCCAGGGAGTCGCACACTTGCTTCCTGTGTCTATGTGGGGGCAGCTAACTCCCTTCGGTCCATGGATCCTAGCAGCCCACACAGAAGTTTTGGGAGTCACTCGAGCAGCCTCCAGGATAACTGTCTTGGTATTCATGTTTTTTTGTAGCTCGTTCTTTAGCAGATTATTAAAAAGATGGTGATGTGTGGTTTCCAAGGCTGAGTGTAAAACACCTTGCAGCTTCCACAGTGCTAGCACATGGGTCGTTCTGCTCTGGGAGGAACATTCCAGAAGTATTTGGAGCCAGGCATGGTGGTATACACCTGTAGCCCCATCACTTGAGAGGCTGAGGCAGGAGGATCACCATGAATTCGAGGCTAACCTGGGCTAGTGAGTTTAAGACCAGTGAGGGTAAGACCCTGTCTCAGAGCAAAACAAGAACAACAAAAAAGCCTTTGGAGAGCCTGTGTGAGAGAAACCCCCTCCCAACAGCCTACACCCACTGAGCACCCACACGTGGCAGACGGATGGCGGATGCAAGTCCTGCATGGGCGATACGCCTTTGGGGGGACACTGCCTGCAGCCTCTTGGAGACCCTGAGTCAGAGCAGCGTGCCCTGTAAGCCAGAAGCGCACACCTGTAGTCCTGGCACCAGGAGGCTGAGACAGGATCTCTATGAGCTCAAGTCCAGCCCTAACTACACAGCAAGACCATGTCTCCAAAAACCAAAATAATTAAAAAAAAAAAAAAAAAGTTTGCATAGAAACCTACAAGGAAGAAACAATTCACCCACTCCCGAGCAGCTACCTAACTTTGATATTGGCTGGGTTAATTACACTGAAATCAGTGCGGTCATGGTCAGTGGGTTCAATACTATGACCCTTACCACTCATGGTTTAAACTGTGAAACAATTTCCCACCACCCATGACCAGTGCCATTTCCTATAATAAACCTACAGTGAAAACAGTGAAATTATTGTCTTTGGTTAAACGTTATATTTGATACAAGATTAAGAAACCCTTTTTACTTGTTGGACAGCAGGTCTCCTGCTTGATTAATGCTTATTCACATTTATCCCAGGACTCACCGTGCCCCATAGACAACCACCCCAGCATGTTTGGTTTTTGTTTGTTTTTGTTTTTGTTTTTTTTGTCTTTTTCCTTTTTATCGGTACCAGGGATCGAACTCACGACTGCCTGCTTGCAAGGCAGGCGCTTATGCCGCTGAGCTAAATCCCCAGCCCCCAGGGGTTCTTTCATATTCTAAACCTGTGCTATCCAGTAGGGTACTCACTAGCCAGATATAGCTATGTAAGTTAATCTATCTGGTTTATTGAGACTGGTCTTGAACTCACTGTGTAGCCTAGGCTGGGCTTGAATTCACAGTGATTTTCCTGCCTCAGCCTCCTGAGTGCTGGGATTACAGGCATGCATCACCAAGACCCGGCTCATGAATTTAAGTAAATTAAAATCCAGATGCTGGCTTATACCTGCCACGTTCCAAGGATGCACCAGCCCGGTGGCCAGTGGCTGCCTCATTGGGCAGAACAGGTGAGGACGCATCGGGGAGGGCTCCTGACCACTTTGATGAACGCGGAGCGGGGAATGGGGCGGGTGATGCCTGTAGCTCTGGGTCGTGAGCAGGAGGGGCAGGTGGGCTGGAGAACTAGGGAAGTCAAGGCACAGCGCCTGACTTCCAGACCCCACCTCTGCCAGCTGGGGCCATGGCTCCGCCAGCAGCTGCTGGCCCCTCCCCTTTACCTCCCCAGGATCCCAGGACAGTTTGCTTCCGTGTCCTCCCTGGCCATCCAGCTGCCACTCTTCACTCCAGCCCCTTCCCACACCCACATCCACCTCCAGATGGCGCTGTTGCCTTCACCAAGAAGGAAGAGGGCGCCCCGGCCAGCCGCCAAGGGGAGGGCGGCTTCCAGCGCCTCCTGTGCACAGCCATACAGCAGGCCTCCTACTGATGACCGCGTGCGCCGCAGCGCAGGCCCTGTAAAGCAAAGACTCGCTTTGGGTCCTGTAAGCTGCCTGTGATGCATGTCAGGCACCTCCAGAAACTGTAGATCTGCAATGGTCCCTTGGTTCCACAGTTCTGAAACAGATGGCCACGTCCACTTTCATGAGGGAAAGCGGTCGCGGTCATATATGTCATCTGATGCAGAGTTCACAAAGAAAAATGAAATTCTGCCAGCTGCTTCTGTTTGCAAACAAAAAAGCGTTCATGAGCTGAGACATCACTGTACTTGGGATTCCTACCCTGAGGACCGGTCAGTGTGCAGCACAAGCCAGCATGGGATGGTGATGGCTGGCAGCAGCAATGACCAGCTGCTGGCTGTGTCACCGTAAGTGTCCAGCTTTACCTGGTGACATCAGGGATATTAGCAGAGCTGCACCCTGCCTACTCATAAGTCTATCTGAATTGCCCTTGAACCCATGGTGACCCTCCTGCATCAGCCTCCCAACGGCTGGGACTACAGTCCTCTTAAAAGCCGTCAGCTCCCACACCGGCACATTTGGGACCAAGCTTCGACCTCATGGAGCCTTGGGAGACAAACCCCCTCCATACCCCTTTCTTCCTCAACATGTTCTCTTACTTTTTCTCCCATTAGTTTTCCAATTTGAGGTCTTTAAGTTCAGCTTTTTTGTGTGGTATTAGTTAGGGAGTCGGGTTTTTTTCTCTATACTGAGTCATTCTTCCACACCAGATCCTGGACAGTACTAAGTGTTCATGGATATCCAGATCGGTGTCACTTTTCTCTTTACTTCTTGTTCTAGCACTGCCTGCCCCTTGTGTACTTAGTACAGTGTTTTTGCTCCACTGTAAATCTTTAATTGCTGTGTGGCAATAATTAGTGTGGCAGTTTCCTAGGCTGCTGAAACAGTGCTACAAATTTGGTGGCATAAGCCATCGGGGCTTTCTTCTCTTAGAGTTCCAGAAGCTGGAAGGCCAAAATAGGAGGCTATCAGGGCCACGGCCCCCCAAAGGCTCTGGGAAGAATCCTGCTTGGCCACTTCCCGGCTGCCGGTGGCCCCTGGCAACCCTTGGCCTTCTTTAGCTTGTAGCTGCGTCCTGCCCATCTGTGTCTCCGTCCCCCCACCCCACGGCCTTCCCTCTCATAAGGGCACAGCCAATTGGCTCAGGTGCCCACCCTAACCGAGTGTGACTCAACTACTTACACCTGTTTCCTCACAAGGTCAAACTCTAAGGTTACACGTGGATGTGAATTTTGGGAGAAAAACACTATAACCCAGTACAAT